CTATAAAACACTGATGAAAGAAATCAAAGAGGACACAAATACATGGAGAAATATACCATGCTCATGGACCAGAAAAATCAATAGACTGAAAATGAGTATACTATCCAAAGCAATCTATAGATTCAATGCAATCCCTATCAAGCTACCAATGGTATTTTTCAGAGAACTAGAACAAATAATGTCACAATTTGTATGGAAATACAAAAAGCCTCGAATAGCCAAAGCAATCTTGAGAAAGAAGAATGGAACTGGAGGAATCAACCTGCCCGACTTCAGTCTCTTACTACAAAGCCACAGTCATTAAGACAGTATGGTACTGGCACAAAGACAGCAATATAGATCAATGGAACAGAACAGAAAGCCCAGAGATAAATCCACACACCTATGGACACCTTATCTTTGACAAAGCAGGCAAGAATATACAATGGAGAAAAGACAATCTCTTTAACAAGTGGTGCTGGGAAACTGCTCAACCACTTGTAAAAGAATGAAACTAGAACACTTTCTAACACCAAACACAAAAATAAACTCAAAATGGTTTAAAGATCTAAATGTAAGACCAGAAACTATAAAACTCCTAGAGGAAAACATAGGCAAAACACTCTCCGACATAAACCACAGCAGGATCCTCTATGACCCACCCCCCAGAATATTGGAAATAAAAGCAAGAATAAACAAATGGGACTTAATTAAAATTAAAAGCTTCTGCACAACAAAGGAGACTATAAGCAAAGTGAAAAGACAACCTTCAGAATGGGAGAAAGTAATAGCAAATGAAGCAACGGACAAAGAATGAATCTCAAAAATATACAAGCAAGTCCTGCAATTCCAGAAAAATAAAAGACCCACTCAAAAAGTGGGCCAAAGATCTAAACAGACATTTCTCCAAAGAAGGCATACAGATGGCTAACAAACGCATGAAAAGATGCTCAACAGCACTCATTATCAGAGAAGTGCAAATCAAAACCACAATGAGGTACCATTACACACCAGTCAGAATGGCAGCTATCCAAAAGTGTACAAGCAATAAATGCTGGAGAGGGTGTGCAGAAAAGGGAACCCTCTTCCACTGTTGGTGGGAATGCAAACTGATACAACCACAGTGGAGAACAGCATGGAGATTCCTTAAAAAACTGGAAATATAACTGCCACATGACCCAGCAATCCCGCTGCTGGGCATACACACTGAGGAAACCAGAATTGAAAGAGACACATGTACCCCAATGCTCATCGCAGCACTGATTATAATAGCCAAGACATGGAAGCAACCTAGATGCCCATCAGCAGACGAATGGATAAGAATGCTGTGGTACATAGACACAATGGAATATTACTCAGCCATTAAAAAGAATACATTTGGATCAGTTCTAATGAGGTGGATGAACCTGGAGCCTATTATACAGAGTGAAGTAAGCCAGAAAGAAAAACACCAATACAGTATACTAACGCATATATATGGAATTGAGAAAGATGGTAATGATAACCCTTTATGCGAGACAGCAAGAGAGACACAGATGTATTGAATAGTCTTTTGGACTCTGTGGGAGAGGGCGAGGGTGGGATGAAATGGGAGAATGACATTAAAACATGCAAATTATCATATGTGAATGAATCGCCAGTCCAGGATCAATGCATGCTAAGGGTGCTCGGGGCTGGTGCACTGGAATGACCCAGAGGGATGGAATGGGGAGGGAGTTGGGAGGGGGCTTCAGGATGGGGAACACATGTACACCCATGGCGTATTCAAGTCAATGTATGGCAAGACCAATGCCATGCTGTAAAGTTTAAAAAAATGAATAATTAAGAAAAAACAATTCCATTGACATTAGCAACAAAAAAGGATAAAATACTGATGAATAGACTCAAGCAAGGAGTCAAAAACTTGTACACTGCAAACTACAAAACATTGCTGAAAGAAACTAAAAAAGACACAAATAAATGGAAAGGCATCTGTCTGCACAGACCAGAATACTAAATATTGTTAAGAAGTGCATGCTATCTGAGGTGGTTAATTTTGTGTGTCAGCTTGACTGGTCCACAGAGTGCCTAGATATTTAGTCAAACATTATTCTGGATGTTTCTGTAGAGTGCTTTTCCATGAGATTAACATTTAAATCAGTCAACTGGATAAAACAGATTTCCCCCTGATAATGTGGGTGGGCTTTATGTAATCAGTTGATAGTCTGACTAAAACAAAAAAGCAACCTTTCGAGGGGAGGAGCCAAGATGGCAGAGGAATGCAAACTAGTACAGCCGCTATGGAAAACAGTGTGGAGATTTCTTAAAAAACTGGAAATAGAACTGCCATATGACCCAGCAATCCCACTTCTGGGCATACACACCGAGGAAACCAGATCTGAAAGAGACACGTGCACCCCAATGTTCATCGCAGCACTGTTTATCATAGCCAGGGCATGGAAGCAACCTAGATGCCCATCAGCAGAGGAATGGATAAGGAAGCTGTGGTATATACACACCGTGGAATATTACTCAGCCATTAAAAAGAATTCATTTGAATCAGTTCTAATGAGATGGATGAAACTGGAGCCCGTTATACAGAGTGAAGTAAGCCAGAAAGATAAAGACCATTACAGTATACTAACACATATATATGGAATTTAGAAAGATGGTAACGATAACCCTACATGCAAAACAGAAAAAGAGACACAGATGTTCAGAACAGACTTTTGGACTCTGTGGGAGAAGGCGAGGGTGGGAAGTTTCAAGAGAACAGCATCGAAACATGTATATTATCTAGGGTGAAACAGATCACCAGCCCAGGTTGGACGCATGAGACAATTGCTCGGACCTGGTGCACTGGGAAGAGCCAAAGGGATCGGGTCGAGAGGGAGGTGGGAAGGGGGATCGGGATGGGGAATACATGTAAATCCATGGCTAATTCATGTCAATGTATGACAAAAACCACTACAATATTGTAAAGTAATTAGCCTCCAACTAATAAAAATAAATGAAAAAAAAAAAGGCAACCTTTCCTCATGTAAGAGAATCCCTCCTGTGTGAAAGCCTTTGGATGTGGGACTTTGGCTTCTTTTCCTGCCTTTAGACCCAAACTGATATATCAACTCTACTGGTTTGGTTCTTAGGCCTTCTAACCTGGACTAGAGCTAAACCACTGGCTCCTCTGGGTCTCCAGCTAGCCAACTCACCCTCTAGATCCTGGGACTTACCAGCCGCTATAATTGAATGAGGCAATTATTTTACACACACACACACACACACACACATACACACACACACACACTCCACTGGATCTGTTCTTGTAACACACTACCCAGAGTGATCTACAGATCCAATGCAAACCCTATCAAAGTCCCAATAGCATGCTTTACAGAAATAGAAAAACTCGCCCTAAAATTTAAGTAGAATCTAAAGAGATCCTTAATAGGGAAAACAACTTGGACAAAGAAAAAGTAGAGAACTCACACTTCCTGATTTCAAAACATTACAAAGCTACACTAATGAAAACTGTGTGTTACTGCCATATAAACAAATAGACCAATGGAGTAAAATAGAGATCTTAGAAATAAACCCTCACTTTTAGAAGATATGCCTGGCAGTGAACTTCCCGATAGAGGGGAAAACATAGCTTTTTTAGATCTTTGGATCAAAGCAAGGACTCTGGAGTCAGATTGCTTGGCTTCAATTCTACCACTGATCCCCATGGGCCAAATGACCGTGGGTCAGTGGCTGAACCTTAGGCTGGTAATCATTAGTACTATAGTCCTGGGAGTGTCACAAGGAAGCACTACTATTTACGTACAGCACTTAGAAGAGTGCCGGGCATGAGGTCTCTGCTGTATAAGTTGCTTTTCATAGATTCTGCCAAATTACCTCCCGAATGGATTTCTTGCACCACCGCCACAGAGGTTTGCCCCTAAACTCTCCCACTCTCGGAATGCTTAAGCACTTGGAGGAGGTGGGACGAGAGGCTTGACAGAGGTATACTCGCAGCATCACCTTCACCCGCCAACTCGCCAACTGCCGGGATGGCCCTTGGGCTTGGCAGCAAGCCAGAGGAGGCCCTCAAACCCATTGGTTACACCTCGAGGGGACGGCCAAACAAGGCGCGTGCTGGTTGGCAGGAACCGGACCAATGAGGAGGCGGCAGGGCTGGCGCGCTGAAAACCTCGCGTCATTTGCGGCTATCTCCTGCGTGCTTGACGGCGAGCTCCAGACGCCGGCCGCCTCACCTGCCCTGAGCGCCACCACCGCCGCCACCGCGACCCGGTTGATAAATCATCGCCGCCCCAGGTCCGGCGGCCACCCAGATCGTGACATGAGCGCCCCAGATGATGAGGTGTCTGTTTCGGGACCGGGTTTCGGCTCAGAGTGCGGAGAGCAGACCAGCGGCCTTGAGGCCGGCTCCACAGCCCCGCGGGGACCCGGCCCCGGCCCCGAGCCAGGGGCACCGCGAAGCGGCGAGGGTGAGGGCGGGAATGGCTTCCCAGACGCTGAGGGCTTCGAGTCAGAGCGGGAGGTGCTGGAAGTGGGAGGGCCTGTGCTGCGGGGCCGCGAAGGCCGGCCTGGCTCCCTGGCTGACGACCAGGGGGACGCCCTGCAGCTGGCTGACAAGTCAGTGGTGGCCACCCTGCAGCAGCTGACCGACCTGAACGTGCTGGGCACCCGCAGATAGCTGTTCCAGGAGAGCTACGCGGTTGGTGAAGTGGCTGCTTTCTGGGACCTCAAGGCGTGTCCCCCCAGTCGAGGCGGTGCCCCCCAGAGGTGTGGGGAAACCGCACAGGCTGAGGCCATCCCTCTCTGGGTCGGCGGGCCCAAGGCAGGCCGGGCCTGCGGGAGCGCTAAGAGAGGCACTAAGAGTAGGTTGAACGTGGCTGTGGATCGCCAGTGGCCTCCCTCAGAAAGCCCAGCGGGGCTGCTGTCCGATCCCGAGTCCTCTGATGAGTTCAGTGAGATAGAGCTGATGAGGGTGAGCAATTATCCCAAAGACGGAGGCCAGGCCAAGCTCAACAGACCCGAAGACCCCGGGAACACACCCAGATGCTCGAATGTCCAAGGCAGGGAGGATCTCCTTAACGTGCCAGGCACTCGCCTGTCCTCGGCGCCGCCAGGATTAATTTCGGTTGTGGAAAGGCAGGGCAGGCAGGGCGATGCAGAGCAGGAGGATGCCTCTCCCCCTAAGAAAATGCAGAGTGTGCTCTGGGGGGAAGGGGGCAGCCTGCCCAGCTACCCGAGAGTAGCATTAGCATCAGCTCGTGCAGCTGCCACTACAGGCAGCGGGCCGCGGCCCACTCCTAGGAGGAAGGGGGTCCAGGAGAAGAAATCCCTTGGGGGCGTCTCCAAACCTGCCGTGGGGAGAACCTTCCCTTCCTGGGGGCAGGGAATCTCGGCCACTCCCCTGGAACCGGCCACCTTCCCCCCAATCTCCGGCATCCCGCTGCGCGGGGGATCCAAGAAGTATGCCTTGGTCCTTTGGGGAGCCGAAGAGTCCAAGCACACTGGCGCTGGGAAGAAACCCGTCGCTAGGCGCGCCTGGGGGTCGATGGCAGCAATGGCGGTGTCGGGAGAAGAGAAGGACCCAAATAGAGATCCATTCCCAAAGGGCCAAGTGAGTAGGCCAGGCCCCTCCTCTCTCCCCACCCTTCCCCCTCCCACCCTCCCCAGGGCACAGGTCTTCGTCCCTTGCTCGTCTCTCCATCCCTCAGGGGTCGTCATTGGGTGGCCCCCGGTCGCTGGGTCATTAGGATGCCAGATTGGGGGTCCTTTCACTAGGGACAAACGATAAGGTAGCACTTTGGGTGTGCTGGACTCAGTTCTCCACCCTTGGCCTGTTTCCGGCCTCCTCCACCAGGCTGCTGCTGGAGTGGAAGGGAGAGCTGGTAGCTGAATTGATTTGAGGGGACCCCTTAAAAGCTTCACAGGGCTTCGGAGTTTAGACGCATCACTTTCCTGAATCCTACTTCCTAGCTCTTCCCCAAAACTTCCTTGAAGGGGCCCCAGGCTTTCTCAGTGCCACACTGCTGTCCCCAGCTCAGCTCGGCCTGCTGGCCTGGGGCTGACTGACAGAGAATGTGCTGAAGCGATCAGCCTTTCAATTCTCTTTCCAATTCCCTGCCTCAGCTCCGTCTTGAATCACGTGAGTTCTCACACACACAGGCATAGATTATCAATGCACTGGTACCCACATGCGCATGCACACACACATCCTTATTCCAGATCAGTGAGAAATCTTTGTTTTTAGCTGACCACTGGCAGGCCAGGGCCATCTTGTCCATGGGTGCAGCATGGAGAACCCAGCAGCGCCAACCTCAACATCCGAGGTGCACAGGATTCAGAAAACTCCGAGCCCGTGGCCATGAACAAGGGAGAAGTCAGGCCCGGAGGGCCTGGCCCCTCAGGTGAGTGTCCTGGGTTTTGATATGGGGGGAGGAGGCCCGGGGTGAGGGCAGAAACCTCTGTCTGTGACTCTCTCTCTCTCATCTGGGGGCTCAGCCTTGCTGTCAGGCCGCTTCTCCCATGAGAAACAGGGTGTCACCAGGGCTGGACCTGGCCCCATCACCTTCTGTGTGGGATTTGTTTGGCAGGGGTGATTGGTGGCAGTGCCCCAACAGCTACTCTGGGCGTAGAGCTGCAAGCTAATAGCCTTTTCTGTGAAGTGCTGTTCGCCCACATTGCTCTCTCAGGTGCTGGCTGTGGCTGCTGCTCTGGGAGGCTCGAACCCAGAACCACAGTCTTTGGCGACCATCGTGGTGAAATGGCTGCCCCTGAGGAATAAGAGGGGCAGGCCCAGAGAGAAGGTTTCGGCTGCCTGCCGGGCAGATCAGGGGAGGCCTAATGCTAGGCAGAGGGTGGTACTGCCTCACCTCACGTTAGACCCGGCCTGGGCCTTTCCACCTCACTGGGTACCTGGGAAGCTGGATTGTGTGTCCTTTCCCTGTCAGGTGACCAGGAACCAAGTGACCATCCCCCAAGACCGAAAAGGCAGCAGCAGCCACGCGGACGGCAGGGCTGTCCTCGGGTAATGCTTCTTCTGGCTCCTGGAAATACACACCCAAGCCCCATGGTGGGATCTGGGTCCAAGTGCAACTGACATGTGTGGGCCCCCCACCCCCATCCCATCCTGCACCGCAAGGAGGGAGCCCACCTCCTTTCCACGGAGGAAAGTCTTTTGCTTGCCAGTCTGGGCACCTGGCTTTGGGATGGAGGGCCCGGGGGAGAGGAGAGGAGGGGGAGAAGGGAGGTGGGTGTATACTAACCATTTCTCTTCTTCCTGTGTCTGTTGGCCTAGTGTCTGGTGCTACAGAGAGAAATAGATGACCTAAAGAAGCAACTTGGTATGAGGAACCAGGGACAGAGAGAAGCGGGTTCTTAGTGCAGAATCGGGGTGGGCCCGTGGGGTGGGGTGGGCTGCAGGTGCAGGGGGCCTCGTAGCGATCAGCATTCCTGTGGGGAGGAGAACCTATGAAGCCTGTCCCTGGAGCGTGTGGTGCATATTCAGCTGGGCATGCGGACAAGTAGCAAAGTGCTGTGCGGACTGCATGCACACTCTGCCGGCCAGATGAGTCCTAGAGAGCTCCTTCTGATAGGACTTGTAGAGATGCCTTGTTGACCTGGTTTGGCCTCTTAAGGGTCTTGTTGGATTGTTTGCGAGACAATTTTGGAAAGGTTCGGGCGTGGCCCCGAGCTTGAGAGCTGCTGGCACATTTTGTTTCCTTTTAGGAAATGGCTCCACATTTAATTCCGGTAGTGGGGAGTGATCAGGCCCAGAGCTCTTTGCATCGGGGCTGGGGGTATGTGGGTTTCAGGTTGCAGGGCTAGGTGGTTCCCCACGGGGACAGGGGTTCAGGCGTCTATGTCCGTCTGTCTGGAGCACCTGTTTATGCCTCTCCCTGTTGCAGCCTCCAAGCGGTACCTGGCTGACAAGTTCCAGATGGTTTGAAGTGAGTGTTACACACTGCATAGCTCTTCCCACAACGTTGGCTGTTGAGCAGGGCTGTGGGCTGGCCCTGGCCTGAGGCTCTTCCCTGACTCTGCTGTTTTACAGGTTGAGCCCAGTATCTTCCTGCAAGAGGAGCAGCTGCTACCTCCGGGGCTGGCGAGCTGCGGCCAGGCTTGTTGCCTCTTGTTCTGCCCCCTCTCTGCCCCAGTCTCACAGCAGTTTTTGATTAAAGGACTTCTCATATTCTGTGTTCTGCCCTCTCTCTGGGGGTTAGGGGTTGGTGGAGTGGGGCAAGGCCTGGTGGAGAGCCACTCCATATTATATAGCCTGTTGCAGAGCATTACCTCTGTGTTGGGGACTCTGGGTCAGCCTCTGCTACCAACCGGGCCAGCAGGGCAATGGAGTGACCCCGGTCTGGGTTCACTGAGGGCCTTGTCTGGCCACATTGGCACATCCTCCCAGTCCCCTAAAGGCCCTCTTCTAGTTCTCTAAACACCCGCCTCTGGGATTTGCCGGTTGCCATCCATTGCTGACATTCTGCCTCCCCATTGGAAGGAACTCTTGACCCCCTTACAGAGCTCCAACCCATCCTCCCAGCCGCTCTGGACTCATTGTTCTATTTACCCTGACCACTCTCTTTTCCTGTTGGAGCACCCTCGATCCCTCCCCTGACTTGCCATTGATGACCTTGCGTGCATGTGTAGTTCAGCAGGTGGAAACAGGCACAGGTGCCCTCATCTCTCCCTTCCCAAGCTCTGCCCTCTCATTGGAGTCCCCACTGCCTGTACCATCTCCACCCCCGCCCCAGTCCCACCTTGCACGCTGGAACCTGCACACAGTCCTCCTCTCCTCTTCAGCCCGCACCCCTGAGACTCAGGCACCAGTAGTTTCGCTTCTCCTTCTTTGGATTCAGTAAAGGACTTGGCATGAAGCCTGGGCCCAGTGAGCTGGGGAGCAGGAGGGAAGGTACAGGGAACACAGGAGACAGGCTAGTCTCTGGGCTGGAGGTCAGGAGATGCATCGGTTTGGTGGCAACCTGGGTCAGACTGCACCCTGGCTGTTAGAGATGGATGGTGGCGTCCTTTGTGTTTTCACATCCTCCCTGCCCTAGCCAGCTGACCACCCTCGCCTCCAGCCTGAGCCTCTCTGTACCCTTGAGTGGAAATGGGCCCATCATGCTCTATGGCAAGTGTGGTTAGTAGGTCTCTGTTCTTGCAGGGTCCCTGTCAAATACTGTTCCACCAGACCCATGTCACAGATCTTCCAACAAATGATATTTCCCAGAGTATCCCAGCTCAGTATCCCAGACTACTTCTTTAGGGCACATGACAATGAGTCTGAACTCTGTGTTCAATTTCCCCCTCGCTGGAATTTGGGGAGCACTTCCTTTCCCTCAGCCAGCACTCCAGGCCTGTGCCAGCCTGAGACTCAGAGAGACAGATCTGTGTTGGTGTGAACTGAGGGTAGGTTCTGCCTGACACCATTCCTGAAAGACCAGGGTTTTATTACACAGAAGGGGGTATGATGGTAGGTAGCACATTCAGAGTTGGTGCCTTGACATCTCTCTGTGTGAATAAAAGTCAGCAAGGATAATGCCCTTGAGGCATAAGGATGTGATTCGGGGAGAGAAGTAAGTAGAGGCTGGTCCAGATTCTGTAAGGCACTGAGTGAGCCGAAGCAAGGGTCGGATCTCCAATGTTCAAGGGGTGTTTTCACATTCCCAAAACGTAGGAGGGGGATGATGCAGGGGTCACCAAGCTTCAGGACAGGGTGTTAGGACTCTCACAGAGTTGGAGTCGCTGGAGGAGGCTCTGGATCCTCCCTTGCCATTCTATGATATCTGCCAACTGCTGAGGGTGTGGATGAATGAAAATGGGAAGAGTGCCTCTGGCGAGCACCAGGGATACTGCTGCTCATCTTAGAAATAGGAGATCGCCCAACATGAGTTACCCGAGGCAGGAGCAAGAAGGGTGCCCTGAGGAAGCGAAGTTAGGAGTGACTGCACCTGGACAATGGGGAGCACTTCCTCCATATTCTCACGTTCATTCCCTTCCAGGCCTCTTGGCATGAGGCCAGGTGGACAGACTACGTGTGTGTTGGAGCCATCAGAGACCTCAGGGTCAGAAAAGAACATGCGTGGGACTTACTCCTTCCACTCCGACCCCTCCCCGGAGCAGGTGGGCTTGATCACTTAGTCTACAGCTGATCCAGTGATTATTGCCTGGTGGTGTAGCCCATCTCACTGTTGTCCGAGTGAGTAAATTTGGCAGAGACCTTCTGGCTGAGGTCTCTGCCCACCGAGACATGTAGGTAAGTTGTGCCCGGGGAGAAGACCAGCACCAGCATCAGCACCACCCTTGGGCAGAGAGGGGCCCCAGACTGTGGTCACCAGGGTGAGGAAGTGGAGAAGCTCATGGAAGTGGAGGTGCGAAGGCGTGAACACAACCCCTCGTTCACTTTTTACCAGGCTCCCTTCCCTCCTCTGAGCACACAGTTCAGACCAACTACCTCACTATAATGTTGCTGGAAACATGGACATCACAGGCCTTGGCTCAGCCCCAAGCGTTCTACTTCCAGTGGGAAATCCGTGGCAGGGCCTGAGGCATAGGTTAAAGAAATCCATCTGGGCCTCGGGGGGTGGGAGTAATGTAGAAGCTCGGCCTCATTCAGTGCACCCCTGTTGCCTTTCCCCCTCATGCCCCTTCTCCAGCCTGGGAGACAGCGACAGCTGCTTTGGAGATCCCTAGGCCCCATCCTGCCTGATTCTGCTGCCTGTCCAAAGCCTGGGAAGATGCTCCCTCCCCATCACACCCACACCCCACCGGCACCAGCCCCAGGTCTACCTCTCTCTGGACTCTTGAAGGAGATTGGCACAAACAAAGAAGGTAGAGTAGGTGAGTCCTGAAGAGGGAACCTCGAGTGGTGAGCACAGTAATCTTGCCCCAAAATGTCCAAGTCCTAATCCCTGCAGTTGGCTTGTATTTTCCTTTGCGTGGTCACAGTTGGTTATGCTTGCAGATGCAATAAAGGCTGCTACTCAGCTGACTTAATGTGAGGTAAGTCTCACCTGCATTGGCCAGATCCACCCGGGCACACTGGGGCTGCCATATTTTCCACCTTGACTATCCCAGTCCCTGGGCTGTCCCAGTGCTTGAATGACTGTGGTGTTCTTGGTGCCCTTGTGCTTGTGCAATATTGAAGGCCTGGGAAGTACTGCTCAGATGCAGATGAAGAACAGACCTCTAGGTTTGAACCCCCGTTTTGTTCCAAGCCCGTCACTTCTTCCTCCTTAGTCCTCTTGAGGTATCTGCCAGCCTGACTTTTACAATGATGATTCACCTTTTAAAAAATTAATTAATTAATTAATTTTACTTTACAACATTTTATTGGTTTTGCCATACATTGACTTGAATCCACCATGGGTGTACATGTGTTCCCCATCCTGAAACACCTCCCACCTCCCTCCCCATCCCAGTGCACCAGCCCCGAGCATCCCGTATCATGCATCAGACCTGGACTGGCGATTCATTTCACATATGATAATTTACATGTTTCAATGCCATTCTCCCATATCATCCCGCCCTCGCCCTCTCCCACAGAGTCCAAAAGACTATTCAATACCTCTGTGCCTATTTTGCTGTCTCGCATACACAGGCACAGTCCTGGAGTGCTGGCTGAGGGAAAGGAAGTGCTCCCCAAATTCCAACAAGGGGGGAATTGAACACAGAGTTCAGACTCACTCTTATGTGCCCTAAAGAAGTAGTCTGGGATACTGAGCTGGGATACTCTGGGAAATATCATTTTTTGAAAGATCTGTGTCATGGGTCTGGTGGTACAGTATTTGACAGGGACCCTGCAAGAACACAGAGCTACTAACCACACTTGCCATAGAGCATGATGGGCCCATTTCCACTCAAGGGTGTAGAGAGGCTCAGGCTGGAGGCAAGGGTGGTCAGCTGGCTAGGGCAGGGAGGATGTGAAGACACAAAGGACTCCACCATCCATCTCTAACAGCCAGGGTGCAGTCTGACCCAGGTTGCCACCAAACATATGTATCTCCTGACCTCTAGTCTAGAGACTAGCCTGTCTCCTGTGTTCCCTGTACCTTCTCTCCTGCTCCCCAGCTCACTGGGTCCAGGCTTCATGCCAAGTCCTTTATTGAATACAACGAAGGAGAAGCGAAACTAATGGTGCCTGTGTCTCAGGGGTGAGGGCTAAAGAGGTGAGGAGGACTGTGTGCATGTTCCAGCGTGCAAAGTGGGACTGTGGCGGGGGTTAGGATGGTACGGGCAGTAGGGACTCCAATGAGAGGGCAGAGCTTGGGTAGGGAGAGATGAGGGAACCTGTGCCTGTTTCCACCTGCTGAACTACACATGCAGGCAAGGTCATCAATGG